CAGCCCGCCTGTCCCTTAGTTACGCTCTCTATTTTACCCTATGCAGTCCAGTAGCCCATATTCCCGCGAAGCTAGTCAGTTCTGTTGTTTCTGACTGTACCCGGCTGTTCCAGTCCTTTCCTTCTCCGGTCCTGTCTACGGCGGGGAAACTCGGTCCCTTGTCCGGCAGGGTGGCTCAGCTCTGTGTCTGTAAGGGTAGACTCTGTCCTGTGTTTGTTCCTCTCACACGCGCTGTCGGCTCCACAGACCACTCCCAGTCGTAGCGGGGAGTTTCGTCACCCGTGACAGTGGTGTCTGTCCAATCACTCCCACCAGTCGCCGCCGCCATTTGTGTGTTCGATTCCCACCCGTTCCCACCCGTCCCTTACCGGTGGCGTTCCATCTGTTACAGTCCTCCGGAAGGGGCTTCACTAATGCACCATCGCGACGCTTACAGACGTTCTGTGTGCCATGGTGGCTGAGTTGATTCTATTTCCCATGAGATTGACTGCACCCCGACCCCGACTGTATCGACTTTATCTCCGTCAGCCTGACGGCTCGCTCTCCGTAACGCTTCCCGTCACGTCCGTCACCGTCACCGTTGTTACGTCCGTCACAGCCGTGGCTCTCCGCCAGTGGCTAACAGCCCATTGTCAACCAGCCCCGCACACTATTGTGCCTACTATCGTATCTGATGCGGCCGGATTAAAACTGATGAGATGCCCGATAGGAGCAGCAGTTGATGAATGGCCGGGACTGTGCGGAAGGCTATGAGCGTGGTTTTCATCACTGGAACGATCACGGTGTGCAATGCTGATGACCTCACAATGGTGTGTGCGAATGCTGTGTGTGACGGTCTGCATGTGGGTTAACGTAATGAATATGGCTCGGTGTGGATTCACGCGAGGCTGTTCGGCATGCGAGGTGCGCTCATTAATTGTGGCGTATGCAGGCAGCGCCCAACCTGGTTCGGCCGCGTCACGAACATTGTGTAAGGCTCAGACCCGATGTGCCGCGGCTGTATGTGGAGAGCCGATCTCTGAGCCGGCGTGGCGGGAGGCTCTCGGCACTGCCGTTCTCTGCTCTCTGAACGCTCTCGGGGCTGCTGCTCTCTGAACGGTCTCCCGGTCAGTCGCCGTGTCGCCGCCGCCCGTCCGTCCGTCGCTGTCTGCGGGTGTACCGACCGACCGGTGCAGCCGGTCCAAACCGCTACCGTATTCCGCCGGCGGCCCGACATCAGATGGCCCGTCCCAGATGACTTGATTGGCTCACGACCGAGCTCCTCAGTTGGGCCGGCCCGCGGTCTCGCCGGAGAGCTGCCGCCGGAGAACGGCGGCCGACAGCTCGGCTCTCTGCTCGTGCGCGAGCTGTCAGCTCTCAGCTCTCAGCTCTGAGAGGAGGCTGTCGGCGCTGCCAGCCCGCCCGCCGACTGACCGATGTGCGGCTGTCACCGGCGCAGAAACGGGGCTTTCCCCGTCTCTGTGGTAGCGCTGGGCTGCAGCGGCAGAGGAACTGTAGAGGACCGTCTGCACCATCCCCTCAGCTCGTGGGTGGGCAGACGGCAAGTGGACCGACTAGCCGGCTGGTCGGGAGTCGCAGACGGCCAGAGCCGGATATGAGTGGCTCACTCTGTCTGACTGCCTGTTTAAACGGAGCTGAGCTGGTTGTTATGCATGGAACTCGGATGGCTTTGCTGACCACCCGGGTAAATAAATGGCCATGAAGCAACTTGCATAGCTGGAGCTGAGGGCTTGCAGTGCAGGTAGGGAGGGAGCGCTGGCTTTCAACTCGTATGTCGCGCAATAGATGTGGGAACAAATGCGCTCGCGATGACAAGCTTTGAACGTTTTTGGTTGCTTGCTATTCCGGGCGATTGTCATGTGAACTGTTTCTAGCAATTAGAAGTGCGGTCGTCACTAAATGAGAACTGAGCTGATGGCTTGTGGAATTCTCATCCTTTGGTCGTCTGCTTATCAGCTAAACCGTGAGTGATGTGATAAATGTCATTTGAAATTTTATTGCACCTAAATGTTAAATTTCATATGCCTGCTGCATTTGTGGGTGGCCTATGGTTTTTTGAAAATTTGTTAAAACGTCTTCAAAAACGACCCAAGATATTGTGGTATTTGAGTTGTGATATCTCTTCTGCGGACTGATGCTGACGTCATCGTCTCCATGGCTTTTCCGGCAACCAGGATTTATGAGCTTTAGTGCGTAATGTCTGTAGACGTTCCTGGAGTTACGTTGATGTTACCACATTCTTGTGATGCGGCCTTGGCATTAGCTCACGCGGATGCTGCCATATCATGTGATTAATTAAAGCGAGGGTTTACCTCACGCCAGTGATCTGTCTGAATGTGGTCAGATAGTGCTTATCTACCGCCCACGCAACCGCCCGGTGGCCAGATCAGCTCACTCAGTACGACCAGTTATTGTTGCGCATCAATACGTCTGGGCTGGCCCATGTGGTTCTGCCAGGGTAGACATGGCATTGACAGTGGGTCTGTGAACAGGCTTTGATATGTCTGTTCCGTGTCACCACACTGCTTTTTCAACTTACGCTTTTTTGTTTTAGGGAAGTGTCGTAAAGCTTTAAGTCCTCTTTCCTACGCACGATCGTGCAGAATCTAGCTGTATCAATAATAATCAAACAGCGTGTTATTTTCGAGCAGGTAAAAGTAAGTGCGCATTTGAAATATGACTTGCTACAAGTTACAGCCCTAGGTAGGATTGTTTTGGCACTGGAGTTTCATAGTTGCTGAAAATTCGCCTCTAAGTCGGACATGTGTTTTGTCACGACGAACACGACCTGTGGCGGTCTCGGAAAAAGTTTGCTGTTCCCTGTCATTACCCGGGCTGCACGCCGGGTCATTACGGCGGGGCTCGTGAGTGTCCCGTGTGAACGGCGGGGGCGCGTGGCGGGGCCGGGCGCCGCTTACCGCCTCCCTGGCGGCTGCCGAGGTCGGCCGTAAGTGCCGGGTCGTGAGGGGGACACGGAGCAACACTGCTGTCACCGCGCCCCGCCCGCTGGACCGCCAGCCGGTCACACCCGTCATTACCGACCCTCAGCCGGCCATCGGTACCGCCTCAGTGGCGGCACTGACAGGGGGTCCGGTCCAGCGGACGATTCCCCCGCCGCCCGTCCGTCCGGGGTCGTCCGTCACCGACCGTCCGCTCCCAGGCAGCTTCCTGTCCCAGTCGCGGACTGGCCTTGTCAAATGGCCGCCGGCGCAGGGGACACGGGGCCGACCGGTGGCCCAGATTCCACCCACGGCCCCTCCCCGCCCCTCGGTACTCTCAGTACCCCGCAGTGACCGGTCGCCCGCGGCTGTTGTTGCCTGCCCGACACACCGCGCTGCGGTGAGCGGCGCTGGCCGCCCGCGGGGACGGCTCCGCTCGCAGCCCGCCGGTGAAGGGAGCCGCGCGGCCCGGTGCGTGGTGAATTATGGAACGGAGCGGCGTTTCGCAGCGCAGGTGCCGTGGGAGGACCGCACGCCGCCCTGAGAACTTATCGTCCGCTGCTAATGGTGAATCGAATCAGATTCACCCGCTCTGATGAGATGTTTCATCACCGGGGCGAGACGCATGTTGAATTGTAGAGGCCGCGCGGCTATGTCTCGGGTGACTGTAAAGCTGTGTAGCTGTGAATCGAGTTGCGTGTTTGTGTGTGTGGACGTGTCGTCAGCGCTAGTGTGGCCTCTCGTCACCGGACCCTGGCCGGTGTGTGTGGTTCGCACCAGTCACGACACAGACTCGGTCTGTGAAAAACGCCGCCGCCGAGTGGTCGGGAGGCGGACCTCAGGCCGACCGGAGCGGCGCGACATCAAGGACGGCATGGTCAGGAGCCGAGGTGGTACTTGTGGTCTGTCATCACCTCGTTGGTGCCCCGGCTCCACCACACGATCATCGTCACAGCCACCGCCGCCACCATCACCACCGCCACCGCCGCCACCATCACCACCGCCATCGCTGCTGCCGCCGTCACCGCCACCGCGGGACCACGGTCATCCAACAATTGATGCTGGATGCTCCAGAGCCATTCATTTAGGACCTAGATTGCTTTTCACATGCCGAATGTGATTCGGCGCATGAAAACCACAGTGTTTATCCCGGTGGCCCACGATGAGTGACAGGAAAATGAGCGACTGTTCCTACTAGAAATATTTTGTTTGTTTATAAAATTTAAGTTGATAGGTACGCCTCACTACGGTGAAAGGACGAATCACAGATCCCCATCATTTCCATGAGCCAGAGCATGTCATTATGGGCTCTCCTGAAAAGGTAGGAAGGTTCACGCTCCCCGCGGCTCAATCTGTCCAGACGACGCGCCTGGATACGGTGCTATTATCCCGCTCCACAACGATACCCTCCCCTCTCCGAGGGTCCAGGGGCCGCGCCTCTTCGTCCGAGGAGTGACACCCTCCCGGGGCAGGTGCTCGGGAGAGCGGAGGAGCCGCGCCGCGCGTCCTGTCGTGTCAGGCGCGGAGGATCGTTCGGCCACGGCCCGCTCCTGGCCGCCGTCCGACACACGCCGACGACACCGGTCCTCTGGTCTCTCGGTCGGCTCGATCCCCGCCGGTGACCTCGTGCTCTCAGTTAGTGGGCAGATGGGGTCAGCTCCCGGCGACCCCCGGCTAGTGACGCCCTGTGACGACCCGTGGCGGCCCGTGTCCGATGAGCTATCACCGGCGTGGCGTGCGCGCGGCGCGTGTCGTCGTGTTGACTCTGCTCTGACGGGGTCGGGTCGGGTCGGGTCGTTAGTTTCGGGTGATGTGTGCGGCGCTGCCGACATGAACCCGAACTCATTGGCTGTGATTTGTGACCCCGCTGGATGGCGTGTCGGGTGTCTGTGAGCCTCATTGACTGCTGTACCGCCACAGTGCGGCACATTACGTCACGCTACACCTGTCAGGCTCGTATCTGTTCCCCGACGCCCGTTGCTCCCTTCTCTACCCTCTCTGCCTGCTGTTGATGTTGGTGATGTTGACGCCTCTAACCCCTCTCCCTGCCTTCTGTTTCAGATGTTCCGCCCGCCCCCGGAGCCGGCGCCGCGCCGCTCCGACTCCGTCACGGTGCGTGTGCTCAATGACCCGGTCAACTGCGAGCTCAGCTCCACCGAGGGCAGCCGCAGCGGCCTGCTGCGCGTGCAGCCGCGCAGCACCAGCTGCCTGCTGCCGGAGCAGCTGTCGGAGCCGGCGGCGCCCCGGCGGCAGCTGGTCAGCCGGCTGCTGTCCAGCGGCACGCCGCACTGGCAGGAGGCCGAGCGGGGACCGGGCGGCCGGCCGGCGCGCACCGCGGCGGCGGTCCTGCCCACAGGTGAGGACTGTGGGGACAGAGCATACAGAAGAGGACTGGGGACACTGCACAGAGGGAGGACTGGAGAGACTGCGTACAGGGATCACGGGAGCTGAGGATGTGCTGCCCACAGAGGAGGATATGGGCTGAGGGAGGGTACTGCTCACGGATTTCGCTGCACTTTTCAAATATCGCTGACACTTCACAACTCCAATTTAGAAGAGTCATGTCCTTTGCCTGTCGTCCCCTCCAAGACCAATGTCATTGAGCTAGGACAAGACAGCTCGGGCGCGTACCTCAGCTGAAGCCCGGCGGCCCCATGGTTTGGTAACTGATATCGCTGGTGGTCGGTATCAATATCAAATCTCATTTGTTCCTTTCAGTCGTGATAAAGATTTTATGTTCATATCATGGTACGCACAGGTTGCGTATCGGCACGATCTTCTGACCCGCCCGGTCCTCGATCGCCCGCTGAACTCTGCGCGGCGGCGGCGTAATTGGGCCGGGCGCTGTTCACGATCCGATCGGTATCGGCCGGGGGCGGTCGTGCGGCCGTCCGGAGGTCAAGTGGCACATGTGTGGCGGGGCCGGTACGGTTCGTGACCCTCCGCCGTATTATACGGTCCTGCGCGCTCCCGGGCACCGCCCAGCCAGTGCCACCCAGCGTGACCCGACCTGACCCGACCTGACCCGGGTGGAGTCGCAGAGGTGACCCGAACCGTGACCTTCGTCCGCCTGGTATGGTCTGGCCGCGGGCGGCGCGGTGCGGGCGCATATTTTCACTTTCCCACGCCGGACAGGTCGTTTATAGCGGAGCAAAATAGGTGGGCGGGCCTGAGCTCGATTAAACGCCTATTTAGGGCCCATGTTCGATACCCCCTAGGCGACCAGTTGATGGGGAATAAACTACAATGTGATAAAGGACTCAACATAAATATATCCACAACTCCCTGGAGGTGACGCGGGTGGCTTTTCGGCTCGCGAAAATGCTAGGCAGGAATTGTAGGTATGGGGGTGAGCTACCTCACTACTGTGGTGACTCTGTTCATCACTCCTGCCGTCCCACGTCCTCCCCCTCCGACTTGTCGACACGGCGCCGCCTGGTATTGTCGGGGACTCTGAGCCGCCTAGTGTCCTGTTCCGTGCCGTCGTCCCGCTCGGCGTTGACCCAGCTCTGTCCGCGGAGAATAACGATCCCGGCGACTGTGACGCCCCCCCCCCGTGCCATGTATTATTGTGACCGACACACGGGAGCCGGCGGCGCAATGTCACCTGGTATTGTGTCGTACGCACAGCTGCGCCCAACAGAGGTGACCCCGCGACCTCTGGTGACCCCGCTGCTGTGCGACACTGTGACGCAACGTCCCACGGGGTCAGGGGCACGAGTCACCGTCAGAGACTGGTTGTCCCCCTCAGGTGAACTGAGAAAACGATTGTCTAAAACGCCCTGCAGCTAAGATGTTAAATCTTCATTGGGTGGTTCTCATCACAACCAGCGCAAAAAATGCCCCGAGTAATTAGCTAAAACCTTGCTGTTTATGGTGTCCTTGAGAGTGACATGTCTGTGTCTTTGGACCTGTTTCCCTCAGCAGGGATATGGATCCGAAGTCGCGCGCTCGCGCGTGCTGTCGCAATGTGTGTGTCGATTTTCCCGGGCCGGGTCGGCCGGGTCAGAGGGAACGTTTGCTGACGGTCGCCGGTGATGGATCGCAGTTCGACCCGCGCCGTTCGCGCGCCGGCCCGGGCTATCGTCGCATCGCGGCCCGCCCGGCCACACGGACGAACGGAAACCCTGGCGAGGAGCGTGCGAGCGCCGGTGGCGAAATGAAATGGCACCGCGCGCCGCTGTCAGCGCCCTGAGAATGACGGGGAGGGCGAGGACACAGAGGGTTCCTTGTGGATGTGGTTCACGTAGACTTACCGGAGATTTGTGTGCGTAAGGGGTGGCGATATGCGACCTTGCCGAGTCGCAAAATGCCTTTTTATTTGAGTCTGTAGGTGAATTAGATGCAGTTGGCTGTCCGATAAGTGGACGAGGCACCAACAGGCTGGCGTCTGCTGAAGAGCGCCCAGACTCGACAGCGCCCACGGACCCGCCGGGGCCGAGTGGGTGCGGGTGTGGGGTCGTGACCTCACCGATCGGATGGACCTGACGAAACGCCCGCCGGCGCTCACGGTCGCCGCCGCGTTGCGAAATGATCACTACGCGGCCAGGTGCGCGCGCGCGGCCCTCTGCGAAATGTGGTCAGATTGACCTGGATCGGCGGACTGTATTGGCGGGATGTGCTCACTGGGTGGTGTATGTCAGCCGGCCGGGCGGCTGACTGTCCGGGGTTTCCCGGATTCCGTTACACCACGGTGATATGTCCGCCCGTCTGTTGTGTCTATGGGGAGCGGCCGGTAATGTATGTGGGAGTGATCAGGCACGCCGTGGTCGGTGTCCGTCACTGCCCTGGGAACGTTTGGAGCTCGGACGGCAGCAGGGGCGGCCTCAGAACGGCGGAGGGTTCCAGAACGTTCCACGGCCGACCGGTAGCGGGCCGGGGGCAGCAGTCGGCCCTGCTCGCGATCTGCTCACGCTCCGCGGTGCCCCCTTAGCTCCCCGCTGTACGCTGCGGGCCGGAGCCCTGCTCACGTCTCTCCGTTACCGCTCCTCTGTGCCCCGACCGGCCATTAGTCCACCGCCCGGCGCCGGCGCCGGTGGCCGGTGGGCGCGGGGTCGCCGTGTCGACGGCAGCCCAGTGACCAGCGCCAATGGGGCTGGTGTGGCCGGCGCCGGCCTTGGCGGAGTGCCCGGACCCCTCCTCTGCGGGCCGTCAACATAACGGACCACCGCAGTGACGCGGGGCCGGCGGGTCTGCCGGCCTCCCTCAGTCGCCCCCGGCCAGGGTGGTGGTTATTGCCGCGGTCCACAGCAGGCCGGGGAGGCCGGCACAGGGTCACAACTCCCGCACCGGCCGCCCGCTCCGGAGCCGTGATTTGTGGGGTCCGCTGATGGAGGGGCGGTGCCGCGCCGTTTGAACGTCGTCAGCCGGTGCCGAGTGGCCGCTTTATTGTGGCATATGACAGGCGGGGCTCCGTTGTGCCAGCGGAGGCCTGCCTTGATGTGTGGTGGCGAGATCGCCGCTGAAATAAGTAGGTACGAGAAGAAGCAGGTTGATCCAGGGGTTTGTAACTGTAGAGTGATTCATGTTTTTAGGTCGCCTCACAACAGTTTGAAGCTTGCAGCGATCACCTAACACAGAAGATTGTATCACTGTGGGGCGGAGCCGTGACTGGGCCGGCCGGCTGTCGCGCCTTACTGGTTTTCACACCGGACGCGGGCGGTCTCGTTTGCTGCTCCTTCCTGAAAAGAAAGCTGACCAATTCTGCGGATTCCGTCCCGTCTGTCCTTCCTTTCTTGAGGAAGACAGAAGGCTGACTGTTGAATAACCCCACAGAGACTAACCGATCAATCGGTCCGACCAGTCGAGACCAGCGGTGGATGCCCGCGCCGTGCCTCCGTAAATATGCACCGTGTTTCGGACGTTTGGGAGAGTTTTACGAGCGCTGTTTTATTGTCCCACGATGGGGACCCGGAACCGTCGGCAGTTTAACCTCTCCCGCCAGAGAGCACTGGCCCACCCTTCAGTCAGGTCCGGCGGCGCTATGTTAGGATCGTAGACGTGTTTTTGTTAAGTCATGTGGGGATCGGGTTCCCTGTTTGGTCAATGACATTTCACGTCAGTGGGAAGTTTGAATAAACACCTGCACTTAGCGATGTTGTCAATGACGCTAAGCGGTAATTAGCATATTTCCCAGCATGTCCACCGTGATGGGTGACATGTGTCAGACAAACGGATGACCTCACCACCTGGTGTGACCCCGAGTGACCTCTCTGAGCCGCCTGTGACTCCCTGTGTGGCGGCTGAACCCGACTGCGATCGACCTCAGTCTGGCCACTTCCTTCTGTCGGCTCTGTCCGCGCGCTCTCTTCCTGTCTGGGTCGTTCGGTACGGTCGGTCCCTGCCTCACTACTCCGTGGTACCGCGGCCACCTCCTCCCACCGGACTGCAGCCACGGCTGCTGCCTTCTGAAGGCCGGCAGCGGTCCGTGCTCGCTGACCACTTCCCGTCGTATGTACAGGCCCAGGGCTACCGCGGGAGTCGGAAACAATGAGCACGTTCATCGTCTGATGGTAACGGTGCCAGGAGAATCTGAAAAGGTGACCTAGGCGACGTCTTTTTCTCCCATATACCGCCGTCAAATTAAATGCTTGGTGATTCTGATAAATTTTGTGGCCATGTGCCTCGCAGTTCACGCACATTTCAGTGAAGTGGCCTACGGGCACTTTAAATCACCATTGCTTCAAAAATTAAGTACGCCTGTGGTCTTATGCATCATATGTCTGAGGCATTGTCTCATGCTTTCTTTATTGTCGCCTGTGATCTCAGGCTGGAAACGCTTAGCACTTAAAAAGGCAGCAGGTGTCCCTACCAACATTGCCAATGATATTGATGTCCAATGTCCAATGGTATAGCGGGCTGCCGTTCAGTGCATGGCGTGCACGGCGTGCACCTGTTCAGTGATGGATATAACTGACTGGGGAGGTAGTCAGATGTGCTTACAGTGTCTCTGAGTGTGAGATGTGAGCGGAGTCACTGACAGCGCCGGGAGTGGTTCCGTTCCCACCCTCCTCTGTTGGGTGCGGCACGGTGAATCTGGCCACTTTCCACTGCATACCTGGGTGAATCGAACGGACTCATACTAACGGCTTCTTAAGCTGGGGAAGACGTGAGAGTTTTTCCTGTGTTGCAAATCAAGGGGACAAGAAGAAGAAGAAGAAGAAACACTTTTTGGTACTTTCCGAAAGCGGCAGCGGGTAGATGGACAGTTTAATTGCTGCTGTAAAGTAAAACATTACCTTATTGAAATATTAGCTCAGATTGAAGATGACTGTGACCTTTCATTGGATCGTGACTGGAATGAAGGCTGTGTGCTCCATTGAAAGCGTCCCATGAATAACGTCCGGACGGGTGGCT